GGAAACCAACATGCTACACCCAGAAAATGCTTTCAGATAGATAGTTAAGGATTTGTTATAGTTTCCATATTAGCAACCCAGAGTGGAAATTTTTCCATTCCCACACTGTAAAATCCAAAGCAGATTATCTATGAGGCTGAAATGATAAGATTTTCAAATTTGCATTTAGATGTAGATAGATTCTGCACTAAAATGCTTTCAAAGCACATTTATTTCCTGAATTCTGGAATGACAACTAAAATCATGTCACTTTTGTAAGATGCCATATACCTTAGGATACTGAGCCTGGGGAAACAGAAATGCACAGGTGACAGAGCACATAATAAACTATTTGGTAAACCTTTTCCCTCTGAACTTAATTGCTTTCTACCTTGCATCTTACTTGCAAGTAAAAGATATTTTGAGATAGATAGGTGTGTGTATATATACAAACAACCAAACCTAAACATCAACTTAAAATATAATGCAAAATTAGATACACAGACAGAGTTTTGTCAATGCACATGATTTCACTTAAGTTCTAAACTTGACTATCTCAAGCCCTTTTATGTACTAACTTAAGCTACATCAGCATTAGACTCCTCTGTTCCTACAGCCATACCAACAAACCTCTCCCAGTTTCAGGGACTGCTTTCTAAAATTATAAATTCCTGAAAACGTGCATTAATACAATACTGCAGCATTATAATTCTTACTACAAAATAACATAAAATTACATTCTAGGACAATGCTCCCTAAGAGCAGAGTCCAGTTATTCTGAGAACACACTGATAAAATACCACATGACTTTCCTTTGTGGGAGAGACTGTGGCAGGAAGAAGACGTTTTTGAAAAGACTTAACACAAATTTTTAACTCCTGATACTATCAAGTTACATCCAACTCAGTTCCCTATAAGCCAACAAGTGTTTCACTATTTTTCCAATTATACACTATTGCATGTTGCTGTTCCTTACTGTTGCAGGTTGTCTTCCTTCATTCCAACCACATTGCAAAACTGGGAGTGAACGACTTCTGTCCCACAGGCCGAAGAAAGAAGAAAGCCTTATACAGTGGCATCAGCCTCTTCAACAACCCTGTGAAGTACCAGGAGGTGCAGCCTTCTACTTTCCGCTGCATTTTAGCCAGGAACAGTGTGCAACTTGGCAATTTCCTCAAGTGATCCCCGAGTTAGTCATTTCCAAAAGCAACTTGTCCAAAGCAGTTCTACAATACTTGAAATTCGCAGAAAAATGCCAATTTACACTATTTAACCGTTTACAAAGTACGTGCTATTTCAGAGGTAATTACAAACAATATGCTAAGTAGGATCCACTGTAGCATTTGACAATGTTCAACCTACATTTGAATAATTTAAACAAAAGTTTTTATATCTTACAGAAGGACTCTTGGAAGCGGAACTGGAAACTGTATTTGATGTTTCCTATTATAGATGTTAAATTCTTTCCTTAAATCATGTAGTTTTAACATATTCTTTCTTTCACATAAACTCTAAAACTCACAGGAAGTGATTTTTTTCCACAGTAGAAACATTTTCCTCTCCCAAAAAGTATTTTAAGAAAAGTTGCAAAAAAAAAAATAAATAAAATTGACAGACTTCAAGGCCAACCTATGCCATTGTTGACAATGAGCAGAGATGCAATGAGGTACAGGATTGTCAGGTCACTGTTTCTAAGCTAGAACACATACCTATAATCTATAAGGGAGGTAAGAGCAGGTTTCATATCAGGAAGAGGGAAAAAGTCTTTAAAAGCTTTTGGTACTTTTTCTTGCAACTTTAAGAGGAAAATGTCTTTCAATGATTTGCTATCAATAGAATTTGATGCAGTCTGAACATTGCAAAGTAGGATTCAAGATTTATCATATGCTTCAAGCTTAATAGAAATTACTATTAAACTCCCTTTAGGCCAGCACAAACATTTTCCTGTATCTATAACAACTGTAATCATGTTTCTCATTGTATTTTTTCCTCTGTTATACTTTGACACACACGGGTTAAGACTCCCTCAGCAGTGTAAGTACCTTCAGGCTGCCGCACAATGAGCAGATAGCTGGAACTCCCTGCCCTGACCTCCCTACTCAGGGCAGCACACAGAACTCTCAATCTGACAGTACTGTATAAAATGGGTATTTTATATATCTATTTAGTGTATATTTGCTATTGAGATTCGAAATAAATTAAATAAACTTAAAGAATACTTGCATTTGTATATTTGATTACATGAGAGTACATGTCAAAACATTCAGATCAAACAACTTTTTGTCTCTTCTCTAGATATTTCCTCTAGTCTTCCTTTTTCCAAATCTACATACCTTGCAGATCATTTATCACTGCTGTCCTGCATAAAGTTAAACATCCAATACCTTATTTGAAGCCACTGGGGAAATGGCATGGACTAGTTGTAGAAGAAAATGCTACAAAGAAATCAATCACTTCCCAATCTCTCAGTCTTTTTTTTTTTTACCACCTTCCTAAATACACTAAGCAATAAGGATCAAGCCTAATATCTGATTTTTTTTCATCTGCTTGGTCACTTCATATTTTGTTAGCACTGCGGTGCTGTTGAGACCCAAACCCATGTGTAGAGAGGAGGGAGAGCAAACCAGGGCAGGCATTTACAGAAGAATAATTTTTGTAATCAGAAATTCTATAAAACACTTCAAGGTCAAATAAAAACAAAACACAAAAACTGAAGTAAAACTGAAGATCACCATGAATCTTTCTATTCCTGGCTTCTGAAGATGTTTCTGAGGAGTCCAAATCACATGGGGAAAGCAGTGATCAGTACTGAAAAGAGTAATTAAGAATAACACACCACATAGACTAGTCATTTACCCCTAGAGTAAATCATCATCACACAAAATCTGTACAAGCAGGAGCACCTAGTTCATGGTAACAGCTCAAGTGCACATTGATACCTGCTGGGAAATAACTCATAACCCCATCCCAGAGACAAGGCTTGGTCAGCAGCAACCAACTGACCAAGGAGGAAGTGAAGGTTTGAAATAAATGCCCATTTTTATCGAGTCACAGCTAAAAAACTGAAGCCCTTAATGTTCCACAAAAGGGTCTCTGCTTGTACAGTTTACTCTTGAAAACACAGAGGAAAGACAAATAAAGGATGAGGCATGAAAATTTGTAGATAACCAGAGACTAACCAAGTGCCAAAAATGATCTAAAGGACTTCAGAGGAAAAGAGTGTCCAAGTACCAACATGACAGCAAAAAGAATTCACTTCTAAAGGTGAAGAAGGAAAAATGGAAGGAAAACTCCCAAAATTTTACATACTTTGTAGAACACTAAGTTAACAATTTTCACCTGGATTGAGTGGGATAAAGGTGGACTTCAGTCAAATCTGCAGTTGAAAGCACAAAGAGCAAGTACAATGCTAGCAAAAATAGAATCACAACAGAAAAACCATTGCATTTATATGAATCACTAGTTTAAATGTATTCATGAACATTCATGCTATACTAGTTACATCTATTCAGCAACAACAATGTAAATAGAAAAACTGATTCAAATTCTGTGGCTTAACTGAAAGAATAAACTCACAGCGTAACAATGTAGTACATTATTCTACCTACACTGATTTAGTAGTAAGGATTAAAAGGAAGCACAACAGAGAAAGCAAACAAATCCTTATCTAACTGAAGTTTATGCAATGGACAACAGGAATGCTGCGTCCGCCAAGACTAAGGCATTTAGGAAGATGAACTAAGGTCTGCATACATGTAGAACAGCTTCTGCTTCCTTTAGTTAGCCTATGGCTCCCCATCCCCAAACCAGACAGTTCAACCCACCTGCTGCTAATAAACCTACCCAGGAGCTCTTGGAAGCAATTACCCATATTCTCAGTAAACCTTAAGAACTGCATTTTACATAAGATTCCCTAACATAAGAAACACCCACAGGTGAGTAGGTTGTCATATGAAAAAAGCAGAATGTCTCTTGCCTTTGATCAAACTGCTTGTGTTCCTACAGCTAACTGCTGGGCACACGTAAGCAAGATGGTCTCCAGGCTTTTTGGTCTCTCAAGATCAGTCTGAGCCTAGTTAACAATCTTACTACAGAGTCAAAAAGGCATCCCTCAGTCTTGGACCCTGCTCCATAGCTTTAGCAGAGTAATCCTAGTCACTAGAACACATGGCTAGTGCTTTCCAAGCCTATGAATTCTTTACAGGTTCTCTTTGAAGAGTTTCACCAAAGTTCAGGTCCACTGTTGAAGCCCCATTTTAATGGGAAGGCTGTGTAAAAATGTAGCAAAGGCCTAAGAGCTAGAGGAGGGAGTTTACCTCCTAAGAGGTAGAGATAGTCTTGATCTTGTACTTCCAAAGCCTTTAAAACTCTCTTGCCTTCTCAGTCTTTCCCCTTTGCCATACATTCAGACTGAGAAACTCTCCAGTCAGCACAGTTACACAGAGCGTCCAAAGGAGGGACACGTAGATGGTGAACGAGTGGCTGAGGTCACTTGATCTGTTCAGCCTGGGGAAGAGGAGGCTGAAGGGAGTATACTTCACTGTATACACCTTCCTCACAAAGGGCACTGAGAGGCAGCACTGATCTCTGCTCTCTGGCAACCAGTGACAGGACTTGAGGGAATGGCCTAAAGTTGTGTCAGGAGAGGTTGAGGTTAGATATTAGGAAAAGGTTCTTCCCCCAGGGCGTGACTGGGCACTGGAACAGCTCCCCCAGGGCAGTGTCAGAACCCAGCCTGACAGAGCTCAAGAAATGACAATGTTCTCAGGCACAGGGTATGATTCTTAGGGTTGTCCTGTGCAAGATCAGGAGTTGGACTCAATGATCCTTGTGGGTTCCTTACAACCACGAATGTTCTGCAATTCTGTGATAGAACATTCATAGCAGAAACTTCAACACTACTTTGAAGATACCACCCTCTACCCTCACACTTAATAAAAAATCTCCAAAGGATTTTATCAACTGCTTTGTACCACCTTCAAGGCACATGCAGCTAGCTTTGAAGTTTAAAAAACTATCTGTGACTTAAACTACATTGGCAATTTTGCATTACTGCAAGTAAAGTGTCAAATGGTTCATTTTAACTGTCTCCTGTGGGAGTTATTTTTGGAGAAAACCAGTAATTTCCTATATCAAGTCATAAACTAATAGGAAGTCTGTCACTTCTAAGAAAAATTATGCTCAATGACCCTCAACAACTCTTTTCAGACACCATTTTTCAGCTAGTATTTGTGGGTAATAATAACAACTCATAACTTACACACCTTGTCTCTTTGGCACACTTTACCACAGACCCAGGTGGGTGTCACAATGACACACAAACATTACAATATAAAATGCACCTTAGGCAGTTTCAGCAATGGCTTCTGAACGCAGACAGCAATGCAAATAACATGAGCTAACTAATGCTAATACTGGTGTTCAATGGTCTCCCCACACAGCAGGGCAGTTGAGTTTCAGCAGACAGGGAGAAAATCTGTCAAGAATCAACTCCACCTCTACATTCTCCACAAATGTTATGGGAAGAGGGAGAAAAAGAGATTCGATACAAACCCTTCTGAGAGTCTTCTCTTGGTACTTATTCCTTGTACAAGTAACTACATTCCTCTAATAAAAAAAGTAAACATTTATTCCATCTAAGCTTTCCCACCGTTAATGGGCTTCTCTCTTCTGCAAACCTGCCCGATCCCTGCACGACAGTTAACGAATGTCACCAGAGGATGGCAGCCTGAGGTTACCAATAGAGAGAAAAGCCAATCTAAAAAAAAACAAACCCAGAGACTGTTAAAGCACAGTAATAGCCCAGTAAATGTCACAAGTACTGATTAAGCAGAGTGACCTGTATGAGCAACAAAGTACTATTTAAGTACTTCTAAAGATTGAGTTCTAGGTCCTGCTCTATACCACTAAACTACTAAGAAATTAAATAATTTCATCTTTCCAAGTCTCCTGTCTCTTTCCTCAGTATAGTTAATGCAGCACTTCCAACACAGCACTACAAAGAATAATGCGGCATTAGTAGACATAAAACAGCAAACATATTAAGATACAGAAAGTTTAAAAAATACAAAATACTACTAATAATGATTTTAACTTGCACCATCAGCTGTGGTAAGCACATACTTTGTAAATCAAAACATACACTCAATAAAACAGGATTTCTTTCATATCCATATTGAAAA